GCCCGTTTTCCAGACAGAGAGGAATGCAGTCTTCTTGGATTTCAATCTGGCACCACATTGATGGAATTGGGGAGTTTATACAGATCATTGGTCCCTGCCTTTTAAATAACAGGGAAGCAGAGACTATTTTATATAGTTATTTATCATAGCACCAAGAGGATCCAACTAAGGTCGGGGCTCCATTGTGCAAGGTGCTGTATATAAAAGTTAATAAGAGATAGCCCCTACCCCGGAGAGCTTACAATCTAACCAGCCCAGACCTAGGAAGGATTGTTATCTCCATTTTAGAGATGGGGGAAACTGAGACACACAGCAATGACGTGACTTGCCCAGGGCCACACAGGGAGTCAGGGGCAGAGCCAGAAATTGCTCCCATACCACCTGCATTCCAGCCCCGTAGCCTGCCCACACGACCACCTTCCCGTCTCACTAAATCACTGCAGATCCAGGTGCTAACAGGTACCTTCAGTGAGCGACCCTCTGACTAATCAGACCCTGTGTTGTTTCTCTGTACATGGCACACTGAAGAGACAGGGCCCTGGCTCAGCACTCAATGGGTTAAAGTTGTATGGTGTTTGTTGGGGGTCTGGGAGCCAAACCTCCGGGAGCAGCTGTTCCCAGCCCCTGTTTTGGCTGCTTGCCAACCTTGTAGAGCTGCAGACTCCAGTCCTCAATGTTCAAGGGGAAAGGCTCCCCAGAGACACACCCATCCTCTCGCCCCAAACTCCCAAGTTACTGGGCATCAGCCAGGCTGGGTGTAGGGGATATGGCATGCTCCCCCCATGCCCAAGGGCCCCCAGCTGGAGAGAGGGAGTGCAATGAAAGGAGGTGTGTTGTGGGGGGTGGGAACTTGACACCTCCTCTTTGCAATCCCCTTCCCCAGAGGGGATCTGAGCCCCCCCAGGGGCAGGAGGTGAAGAACTCTGAGATAGAGCTGGATTTCCACATGTCAGGGGAGTTGGGATCCAGGAGTCCAGTTTAGGCCAGATCAGCGATAGGAGAAGGAATCCCTCCCTCCCCCAAAGTGCATAACAGGGATGAAAAGTGGGGGGGCATGGCTTCCCCACAGCCCTGAGCAGGGCTCACCTAGCCCTAGCCCATGATGCTGGTGTGCAGTGATTAACTCCCTGCCCCTTTCACAAGGGCTTGAAATTAACTCTGTGTGTCAATTGCAGCTCCCATTAGGGGACCCTGGGGATGTAGAGAGGAGCCCACGATGGCTGCAGGAGAAGTGTATGTGCTGGACCCAGGAGTCCAGGGGGACTCTGCCTTCTAAACAAGCCCCTCTTCTCCCCAGACGCAGACAGCCACCAGGCTCTCACTGCAGCCTGTTCTCCTGCCAGGAGCGAAGAGCAGAAGGTGCCACTGTAAACACCAGGCGATCCGGTGTCGGACACACATTCCACAGGCCTGGCGTCACAGCCCGGCTCGGCCCCCTGCGACCAGCCCCACAGAGGGAGCGTGCACCCCGACGTCGGCCAGGTGGCACCGGCTGCTTGCCGATGGCGTGGGAAGACGTCGCAAGAGCTGCCCGCCTGGAGGCAGGCTCAAGGCGGTGAGATGGGAACATTTGGGCAGGACCCACAAAGGCAGACCCAGGGGAAGGAGCAAAGGAGTCGGTGGTCCTGTAATGCCCAAAGCACTTCATGAGCACTCGCTAATTAAGCCACCTTTTGAGTTCGCTGGGCCTCCCGGAAGGTTGCCCCTCTTTGGGGGCGCTCGGCCATTTCTGGGGGCGCAGGCTGGTGACCCAGTCGCTGCAACAGCACCACCCCCATGGTAACCACAGCATCTGCCTTTCACCTTCAGCTCAGCCGAGCTGCCTGGTAAGACCAGCCCAGCTCCCAGGGGACAAAGACCCCTCTAGGATGGGGGTTTATCGGGCCTCCTCGCTGGGATCTTGTGAATGCACCATGGGGACTGAACTCCCCTCTCCTCCACCAGCCAGAGGTCCCTCCAGGGCAGGGCAGGGCAGGATATTTTCACTAAACACAGCCTGGTCAGGAGCGGGGGGGAGGGGGGCAGGAGTGCTGCCCGATTTGTACCATAATACAAATAACTAAGTGCTCCCCCGTCCAGTCTTGCTGAAGTGGGTGGCTGCCTTTCATCACTTGTTGAATGCTGCCCCCTCGCCTCTTCCCCCAGCTACTGCAGGCTCCTGCGGACACGAGCACCGCCCGGGGAGATCTTTCCAACTTCATTTCAAGTTTTCTGAGGGTTGCTTTATTCCAAGGCAGACCCAGTCCCTGCGATCCCCTGGGCGGACGACTCGAGCTCTGAGATGCTCTCGGTCCCGTGTGGATGTCAGGAACAATAAGATTCCGCCCTTCTACAGCACTTTCCACCCTAGGATCCTGTTGGGCTTTAGATACATAAATTTAGCCCACAGGCCCCCCTCCCCAGCATTTTGTAGATGGGGAAACTGAGGCACAGCAAGATTTAAGACCAGTATTTTCCAGCCTGGGTGCCTCAGGTTAAGCGCCCAATCAAAGGGTCTGATTTGCAAAACTAGTGCGCACCTATAGCGCCCACAGACTTCACTGGCATTGTGGATACTTGGCACCTCCGCCAATCAGGTCACTTATGCAGCTAAACATGGATCCAGGGAGCCTAGTCTTAGACATCCAAGATGGACAGTGTTGAGCGAAGTGACCTGCCCACTGTCACACAGCAAGTTTGGGGCTAAGCCAAGAATGGAACCCGGATAAGCAGGGCCCCTTAACCACAAGCCCATCCTGCCTGCATTAGAGATCCCGGGGGAGCTGCCGTTTGCACTCCTCCTCCTCGCATTGCTGGGCACTCGCTGTGCCCCCCCCTCCCCAGAAGTGGCTGCATTTCAGTGGGGCTGTGCTGCCAGAGTGCGGTGGGAGGAGGGGCTCCAGGCACAGCACGAGTGGGTTATTCTGACCCTCTCCCCCTCACTCTACAAAAGAGGACGGGGAGCAGCAGATGTGGGAAGATGGAAGGAAGGGGCAGGACCTTTGGGATGTGCCCGGGGGGGATTCTCAGGATGGGGTTAAGGGCCTTACCACGGGGGGTTTGGGTCCTTTCCCCCCACCCTAGAGGTGGAAGGGAAATCAGCTTCTCTATAAGGACCAGAGACAACAGAGACCCTAAAACACCTTTGCCATCCCCTTTGCCCGCTGCCCTACCTGCTGTTCTCCAGCCCAGCTGTACATGGCCCTGGTGTGGGGGCTCCCACACCTTATGAGATGACCCCCCCAGCCACCGATCCCAGCGTCAGGAAGTGCTTCCATCAACCCCACCAAAACACGGGATCAGAACAAGAGCTGGACGCCAGAGGGAGCCATGCCAGCGAGAACGTGCAAGGGAGCCCAAGCCGGCCCCGGGCCTAGGGCTGCCCAGGGCATGGCTAGTTCCAGAGAGGGGGCACTGGGCTCCCCCGTGGTGCATGGACATGCAAGTGGGGCGCTCAAGGGTGCTGCGAGGGGCAGGTGGGAAGGTTTGTCTACACAGGGAAATGCCAAAGTAGAATAAATATCCCAGAATAGAGTCACTTGTCCTGTGGAACAGTGGCCACGTGTGGGGGTAGTTAGAATTATTTTGCTATAGCTCTGCAGTGTTTCTCCATGGAGACAAACCTTAAGGGTCAAGGGGGAAGAAGACCACCCCCCCAAAAAAAGATCCCCCCCAAAAGGGGCTCATAGAAAGTTTCTGATTATCCTCCCAGCTAACCCACCCTGTCCCCTCAGTCCTGGGGCCACCGCCCCTTGCAGAGGGGACTCTGGGAGAGTAGAAACAAGCAGCAGGGAGCAACTCCTTGCTGGCGTCAGCATCGTCCCATGGCGCCCACCTCACCTGGGCATCTCACAGCCCTTTCCCTCACCCATGAAGCCACGCCTCTGGAAGGGACCCGTCCACCCCCACCCCGAAACACAGCCAGCTCTGGGGTGGAGCAAGGCAGCTGTTGAACAGCCGCACGGCAAAGCTTCAGAAGAGCAGGGGGATGGCACATGGAGGAGGAGGCTGCATGCAGTGGAAGTGCAATGGGGGTGGGGAGGCATGTCGGGTGCAGAATGGACCTGGCGGAGTTATCCCGGCTGTGAGCTCTTGCGTGACCACTCACCGCACAGGGCCAGGGATCTGTAGTTATCAGCCAGAATGGGGTCAGGATACTTCCTCAATGCGAAGTTTTAGCCTTGTGAATAAGGCCCCGGACAGGGGCTCAGGAGACCAGGGTTCTATCCCCCAGCACTGCCACCAGTTCTGGCCATGGCCACGGGCAAGACACTCGCTCTCTGGGTGCTTCCGTTTTCTCAGCCATCTTTCTCTCCCCTTTGTCCATCTAGACCCTGAAAGGAGGGGCTGGCTGGGCCTGTGCAGTGCCGAACACAACAAAGCCCTGATTTCTACCGGAGCCTCTGGGCATCATTCAGCCAAGGGATATTTACATGGCAGGCCTAGCGCTAGGAGGGGGCACGGTTGACCACAGCACGTCCCCATCTCTCTGCTCTGTTGTGACATATCCCTCCTGCACACCCACGTTTAGAGCAGCTGAGACGTCCCCAGACCCCCTGGTCTGGCTGGGTCACGGATTTTCCACGTTTCTCTGGCTAAAGGTGTTCGCAGGTGCGGGAGTGGGTGGTGGATATCAGGCTATTTCGTCTCTTACCATAACCCCCCCGCCCCCCCATGGGTGACATCCCAACTGTCACCGCAGGAACCAGCCATGATGCCGCCCCTCCAAGGACTCCAGGTGAGGGCCTGGCAAACCATCTCAGAAACCCAGCTGCTGCTAACGCAAGGACCGGAGGCGCAGCTGCTCTGCCAAGCCTGGATTCCCCTTTAACGAGCTCAGCCGGCCCCTCCTCTCTGCCCGCCCCCAAGTTGTGGAGTCTTGAGCCCATGTCTTGGGTATCCAATCGGCAGGCGATGGGGAGAGCAAGCCCCTGCCTGCATTATAAGAGGTTTGCAAGTGCTCTGCCTTGGGCACAGTGAGTGGAGCTCGGAGAACGAGCCGGGGGGGAATAGGGGGTGGGAGAGGGCCTGGGGCGGATGGAGCCTTCAGCCAGCAGGAGGGCACAGGGAGACAACCTGAGCTACTTCATAGAGGATCCAGGCACCGGGACGCTGTACAGGAGGGGCCAGCTCTTGGGAAAGGTACCTTTTTTCCCCACTTTCAAGCTGTTCTGGGAAGCCAATTCCCCCCAGGCTGTTGGGGGCAGAGTCTGTGTGCGCATCTGATGGAGACAGGGCTACTTTTGTACTTCTCTAGCACCTGCCACTGGACACTGGCCATGGACTAACCTCATCCAGCCCCCCTTCCCCGCGGGAGGTAGGCAAGTCCTTGTGGTCTCCAGTTTAGATGGGGGGGAACTGAGGCAAGGGGGGGAGGGGGCGGGCTATTTGCCCAAGGTCATCTAATCAGTGACAGAACTGGGAATAGAACCCAGGAGTCCTGATGCCTACCCCCCCTTCCCCTGTTGGATCCACTGGACACCATTCCCTTCTGAGAGCTGGGACTAAAACCCAGGACTCGAACCCCAGGCGCCGCCCTGCTGCTCCCACTGGACCCCACCACTGAGCTGCAGCAGGCCACGGCCTGATTCGGGAGACTGCTGAGCCGAGGGATCAGGCTGTGCCAGTTAGCCCGAGCCCGTGGGGTGCAAAAGCAGCCGCAGATTAGCAGGGAGCCGCGCTCACAGCCGGGGGCTGCCAGACCTGCCCTCGCTCCTCTGAGGTTCTGGAAGCCGCTTCTCCCACGTTGGCCGGCAGCCACTTACCAGGGAGAAGTTACAACTCATGAGTTGCCGGGGGCTCTTCCCGGCTCCTCCTGGGTGCAGAGGGAGCCCCGCTCCTTACCCTCCCTAATACCCTGGGCCCGATCCTCCATCACACTGTACCATCGCTTACACCTGTGCAAAGTGCGACCCCATCAGGGGCAGCTGTCTACACCTACTTCGCCCTGATGCCAGTGACCCGGGAATCAAGGGATCAAAGAACTTCCTACTGTGGCCAGCTCACGACAAGTCTGCCAAGGGAAGCCCTGAGCACTTAAAGCTACCCTGGACTAGGGTGACCAGATGCCCCAATTTTATAGGGACAGTCCCAATATTTGGGGCTTGGTCTTATATAGAGTCCTATCCCCCCCCCCCCCACACACACACACACACCCGCCCTGATTTTTCACACTTGCTGGTCACCCTACCCTGGATGGAGCAGCCTAAAGCACTGGTCAGGGCCCTGCTCCGTGCCATTGCAGCAGGGCCTGGGCACCAGAGGCTGGGATGGCCCAGGGCAGCACGGGGTGCCCAGCCCGACTCAATGACGCTCCCCCATGGGCCCAGCCAGGGGCCTGCTAGCCCACGCCCGGAGAGCAGGGCTTGCTCCCCACTGGTGCGGCTGCAGTGCCCACCCCCCAGACAAAGCCTCGGTCTCACAGCCCCCGTGATGAGGAAACTGAGGCACAGTGAGGGGTTAGCCATCCAGTGGTGCTGCAAATTTTTACAGTGGAGGTGCTAAAGGTGGAAACCATGTATCTGGGTTGTTACTACTACTTCAAGCCAGGGGGGGTGAGGCAGCCCCCGAGTTTCAGCACCTAGAGACCCTGTCTGTCTCAGTCCCCATCTCTGTTCATAGCCGTAACACCCGGCGCTGACCTCACTGCTCTACCAGACAGGGGTGAGACAGGAATGGGTTAAGTAGCTTTGCATTCTGGCCTTGAACCTGGAGCCAAAAATCAACAGGAAGCAGAGTCCAGTGGCAAATGGAGAGAAACTGAGGCACAGAGGCACAGCAACTAGCCCATCAGCTGCTGCTGCACCTGCAGGAGAGGGAACTTTTTCTCTTTCAAGACAGCCGCATTGGCAGGCAGGAGCGGCCAGGTCAGGAAGCAGGAGAGCCCCGACTGCCATGCAAAGCTGCCCACAACGGGTACGATCCCCGCCGGAAAGGCTGGTGCCTTGCGCAGCTTGTGAGGCTCAGCATGGGCACTGCTGGCTAGCGGTGAGAGCCAGCAATGGCGACTCAGGGCCCTGGCACTGAGGGGAGAAGGATTGAGGAGGTGAAGCAGCGTTTGGGGCACCAGGGTTGGTTGATTGATTCGTCTCATCTCTGGGAGGCGAGCCCGACCTAGGACTCCTGGGTTCTAGTCTCAGGTGGAAGGGCCAAGGGTCATCATTGGAGGCACTGTCAGGGTGGGAACGACCCTCCGCGGATGCCCAACCCCCATGGCTTTGTCCCAGGGAAGCTCCCCCCCCCGGTACAAGTCCCCACAGGGCCGGGGGAGCAGGATGCAGCCCCGGGTTACCAGCATCCTCACAGCTCCTCCTTGTGCGCAGGGAGCTTTCGGCCAGTGCTACAAGTTCACGGACACGTCCACCGGCAAGGTCTACGCTGTCAAGATCGTCCCCCAGTCCCGCATCTCCCAGCTGGAGAGCAGGGGGAAGGTGAGCCAGGGGCTACTCCCGTGGGGAGGGAAGGGGAGGAAGCACCTAGCACTGGCCAGACAAGCCTGGAGGTCATGCCCCCTCCTCCCCACACCCTTCTTATCATCCCCCCAGAGGAGCAATTGGCCGCAGCTGGGCCCTGTTTTGCCTTCTCCCAGCTGGGCTACCTATGCTGGGCAGACACCCATGAACTACGGGGAAGGTTAATTAACGCTTTCCTTGCCAGCAGCCGGGGCTCGACTATACCCCTCCCCCCGCCAAGCCCCATTCCTGCGCCCCCTCACCCCGTACCTCAATCTTGGGGGTGGTGGGGAATAAACCCCAGGGCAAACAAAAAAGCTCCCCTCCCTCCGCAGACTCTCCACTTTCTTCTTGTTCTCACCATCCCCAAGCCCCGGGGTGTCGCCCAGCCCCCAGCTGAGACCCGGTCTCTGAGTATCACAGAGCAAACCACGGGCCACGCAGAGATGAGCCGCAGCCTCCAACGTCAGTGCAGGGTGAGACCGCTTCTCATTCCTCCACGTGGGGAGGCCATTGCGCCTGAGCACCGAAGATTGAGAGCGTTAACCCTGGTGGCCCACCCTGCGGGTAACCACAGCCTGATCGTCTCCATCCCCCCTGCAGCTTCGTTCAGGGTCCAGAAATTCCCCGTCTGCCTCTATCGTGTGACTCGGCTGTTGCGAGATGCCGGTCACATTCCACCGCAGAGCCAGCTGCATTTCGGTGGCAGAGGCGTGATTTCCCTGGCGCACACCGTCTGCCAACTGCTTGGCATCCCTTAGGCCCCTTGCCCGAGAGATATGTCAGATCTCATTAAAGCCTTGGTCTTGCTGTCATTTTACCAGCTCATGTTGGCATCAACCAAAAAGCATGAATGCTCTGAGCTAGCTGGGTTCTGACTCTAATGGAATGGCCGGTGGTGGGTGGGTATGCATAGCTGCCACCTATGGGAGGGATCTGAACTGCATAGCTGTGTATCATAGGCCCTATACTTCTAGCAGCTAATGGGTTTCTCCTATCGCTCCAGTAGCTTTGGGAGGAGCAGAATGATCCCTACTGCTGTCGTAAAGTTCCCAGGGGCTGTGAGTGCAACGCTGACAGCTGTGAAACTCCGAGCTGGGCACGAGGACCCAGGATCCGCAGGCCCAGCCGGGGAGCAGTGTGCGTGTGTGTTTTCCACAGCGCTGTATGATTCTAGCTGACTCCAGCGCTTCGGGCTCGTGACTCGTTTCTCTTGCTCTTTGTGCATGTCTGCAATTCTCCTCCCGCAGGTCGAGAGGGAAATCGAGCTGCACAGCCACCTGAACCATCGGCACGTCGTGGGCTTCCACCGGCACTTTGCTGACCGGGGCAACATCTACATGATCCTGGAGTACTGCAGCCGCAAGGTGAGCCGAGCTGAGCCAAGGTGCTGGGCCCCGGCTCTCGTCAGGGAAGGGAGCAAAGAAATACCTAGACTCAGAACCTCCAAGGTGTTTGCACTCTTAACTTCCGTTGAAATCCAGGGAAGTTAGGAGCCTACATACATTTGGAGCCATAATAAATTGGGCGTCTCTCCTGATTTTTTTCCAATCCTCTGGCGCCTGCAAATCTGGCTTGAAAATATGAGACCAGCCTTTATCTGGCTTGCAGCATGTTGCGAGAGGCCTGTTTGACTAGTGTTGCGGGAGGCAGCCTGGTCTAGAGCAGAGAAGGTGCTGGGATTCTGGAGCTCTGGGGTCTGTTCCCTCTCTGCCTGTGATCTACTGTGTGTGACCTCGCGTGAGTCACTTTCCCCTCCCTTCCACCCTTTGGGCTTAGTGGGCCACCCAAGCTGGTGTCACTTAGAGCAGTCCTTAGGCTGCTCTAAATTACCCTGGGGCAGTGGAAGATTTCCTGGGAGCAGCCAAGGAGTCACTCCAAACACAGCTATATATATGGCTGCTCCCTTCGGATTGAAAGGGACAGACGTGGTTATTCTTCAGGGTTGACTTTTTAGTCCACTAAGTGAAGGGTGGGGCAGCTTTCCGAGGCGATACGAGAGTAACTAACCTGCCTCTAGCAGCTCCACTGACCCTCCGACAAGCAGAGACAGGCTGGAGCCATGAAAGTCAGGCCCAGATGTCGAGCGCCCGAGGGTCAGAGAGAGGGGGGATGGGTTTGACTCAAGCCCCTCCGCCTCCCCCCCCCCGATCCAATCTGTCCCCAAAAGGCTGGGCGGGGGGTTACCAGCACCTTGGACCGTGCTGCCGATCGGAGGCTTGCGTGCTGTGCTGGACCCAATCTGTCGCTGAGCTGTTTCCTCTCCCCATCCCCAGTCCCTTGCCCACATCCTGAAGGCCAGGAAAACGCTGACGGAGCCAGAGGTCCGATATTACCTGAGGCAGATCGTTGCGGGGCTATGCTACCTCCACCAGCAGGGCATCATCCACCGCGACCTCAAGCTGAGTATGTGGCTCGGGCCAGCAGCAACGAGCCGGGGCTGGCTGCATCACAGGGGGACGCCGGGGTGGGAGGGGGGATCCCCAAAGGGTGCAGGGGGAGAGACCTCGCCAGTGATGCTTACACATCGCCCTCTGATGCTGAGCAGGTGCCCGTGGGAAAGCGGCTGGCAGAGGGAACTGGATTCCGCCCCACCCCTCCAGAGTCCTCGCCTAGACATGCTATGGGACTTGGCTGCAGTGGGGAAGGCACCCCATGGGGACAGGAGGGCAATGTTGCCTAGTAGTCGCAGCCAGGGCTTGGGAAGCAGGACTCCTGGGTTCTATGCCGCGCTCGGGAGGTGCAGTGGGTTGGAGTGTGGGGAGGCCGGGGGGGGGGATGGGGGAGTTGGAGCTCCTGGGTCTTCTTTCCGACTCTGAGGCGTGTGGAGCAGGTTGCTGGGTGCCAGGACTCCTGGGTTCTGGTCTCAGCTCTGGGAGGGTGGCCCTATAGGTTGGGGGAGAGGAGGGAAGGGGCTGGGAGTTGTGGCTCCTGGGTCCTCTCTCCAGCCGTGAGAAGCATTGAGCTGGTTTTGGGGTGCCAGGATTCCTAGGTTCTGGTCCTGGTTCTGGGAATCTGGTCCAATTGGTGTGGGGAACAGAGGAACAGTGGTGGCTGGGAATCAGGACTCCTGGGTTCTTTTTCCAGCTGTACTTGAGGCAGGTCATGTCCTTCCCCTTCCTCTCAGCTCCCGCACTGGGCAATTAGGAGATGGGACTGAGCTCCTAGGGGCTCAGACCCTTGGATTGATTGATCTCTGCCTTACAGCAATGCAGCACCAGGGGTCCCCAAATCAATCTTCCTGGGGACCCTTTCAATCCTTTAAGCCTTGAGCAGCAGTGAAGGAGTTAATCACCCCTGTGCCCTTCACCTTGGCCTCTGAGACCCCACCCGAAGAGGGCTGGGGGCTGGAGAGGGGTTATAAATACACCAGCAGCGCGTCTGGCCGTCTGGCTTGTTGGGAGTAAATGCCACCAGCGTGACTTCATGCTTCTGAATGGGAGCCCAGGAGCCAGCTCTCCATGTAGGGGCTGCCCCGTGGAGGGGGAGATACGTGGGGACCCCCAGATGCAGCCTCTCTCCCTGACACGCACACAGCTGCCCCCTGCCGAGCAGCCTCTGTCTGCTGGGCTGGGGAGGGCCTCCTGCCTGTGATTTATTGCTCCCATGGGGCACATACAAACCGCCAGGGCTACTGAGGAGGCCCTGTCCAGAGCCTTCCTCTGAACAATGGGCTACTCCTGTCTCCAAAGCTGCTTGAGCTGCTGTACAGAAATATATCGGCACAGACAGCCCCGCATACGCCCCCCTCCATACTCCCTTCTCCCCTGCAGCATGGTCTAGTGGCTAGAGCCTGGGAGCCAGGACACCGTTCCCAACCTTGCTACTGATTCCTTGTGTGATCTGGAGCCGCTCTGTGTCTCAGTTTCCCCACCTGCAAAGGGGGGTGACTCTGGCCGTGTAACTGGAAAGCTGCCCGGATGTGCTCAGCGGCTGACCTCTCTTCCCCCCACAGGTAACTTCTTCCTCACGAAAAATATGCAGGTGAAGATCGGGGACCTGGGGCTGGCGACGAGAGACGAGCAGGCCAGCCAAAGACGGGGGTAAGTGCTGGCCCAGCACAGCCTGCAGCCCTTGCCGGGGCGCTCTGCGGATTCACCTCCTGTTCCTTTTCCCCTACAGCGTGGTGTGTGGGACGCCCAACTACCTGGCCCCCGAGGTGATCGCCAAGAAGGGGCACTCCTTCCAGTCCGACATCTGGGCCCTGGGCTGCATCATGTGAGTGAGGCACCAAGCTGCAACTGGGCAAATGCCTCCGAGCGGGGTGGGCCGGGCCGGGTCGGTGGGGAGGGAATGGGATACGGGGCACCAGCTCCAACCCAGCCCCAGGGTGTGGAACAGGCTGGTTCAGTGGGGCGGGGAATGGGACATGGGGCATTTTGACTCTTTGGGGCACCAGCTCTGATCCAGCCCCAGGGCAGGGGAATGGCTAGTTCAGTGGGGTGGGGAATGGGATATGGGGCTTTTTGACTCTTTGGGGCACCGGCTCCGACCCGGCCCCAGGGGGAATGGCTGGTTCAGTGGGGTGGGGAATGGGACACTGGGCCTTTCCCCTCTAGGGAATGCTCTGATTGGCTGCTTGTGCCCGCCTTGGTGCACTGGGAAGGCTCTGATTGGCTGCCTTCCCTCGCCCCAGGTACACGGCTCTGACAGGCTGCTCCCCCTTCGAGATCACCCACAAGCAGGAGATGTACCAGTGCATCCGGGAGGGCCGGTACCCCGCCCCCAACCACCTCTCGCCCGGCGCCAGGAAGCTGATCGGCCGCCTGCTGGCGCCCCGCCCCTCGGAGCGGCCCAGCCTGGAGGAGGTGCTGGAGCACGAATTCTTCACCCAGGTGCGGGCGATGCAGGGGCGGGCGAGTCGCTCCGGGCACTATAGATGGCAGGCACCCATCCCGAGCGGCGCTGCGACCCCGTGTGCCAGGTCGCGATGCCGCTTGCTCGGATTTAAGATGGGTGCTGCGCGTACACTGGGGGAGCCGGGCCCAATTGCTGGGCACACGCTTGCACCCGCGAACCCCGTCTAGGCGCCCAGGGTGGGCGTGCACCTGTGCTGCCCTGTCTTAGGAAGAATGCCACCTCCCCTGGCCCACAGCCCCCAGAAGGGTCCCGTGCCCTTAGCTCAGCTGCAAAGAGCTGCGGCCGGCCCTGGTGCAAACCAAAACCAAGAGGATCCAGGTTCTTGCACCCAGCCCCCGACACAGTGCCCCAAGTCCCTGGGCTGGTGGTCCAACCTCTCCAGCCCCTCTGGGTTACTTCCACCATCCCTCGCCTCTATAGCCCCTTCTAGCCCTGGTGCCCATATGGACCGTGGGGTCCTTGCCCTGCCTCCTCCGTGGCACCAGCGTGAGGTACAGCCGGGAATGGAGTGACGTGGCTGTCGTCTCCCAGGGTTTCACTCCGGACAAGCTGCCGTCCCGCGCCTGCCACTCGGTGCCCGTCTTCGCCCTGCCCAATCCAATCGGCAAGCTCCTGCAGAAGGCGGCCAAAGTGCTGTTCAGGGGGTTGCCGTGCCAGGAGCCCCAGGCAGGTGGGTCAAGTGGCCGCGTCCCCCCGTGCTCTGGGCTGAGCTTGGCAGTGCCCGTGTGGCGTCATGGCTCCACTGTGTCTCCATCCAGGTAGCCCGGTGCCCGGCGAGGAGCCGGAGAAGCTGACGAGCCAATCCTGGCAGGCTCAGAACCTGCCCAGCACGGAGCAGCACAGCGAGGTAGGAGGGGTCCACGGGAAGGAGGGTGGGGAGGGACCTGGGGGGGTCTGCAGTCCGGCTCCCCCCCTCTCACCCGCTGTCCCCATCTCCCTGCCAGGTGGAAGGAGGCAGTGTCCAGGCTATGCCATTGACCAAGGGCCCCCACATGTTCTCCATCCATCTGCTCATGACGGGAGCTCTCAGGCCCAGATGCTCCAGTGCCGACTGTAAGTGGATGCCACATTTCCCAGACCGGCCTCTAGCTGTCGGGCTGGAATTTGGGAGGGTTCTAGGCTGGAGACATCCAGGGCCTGATGCCAGCTGGGAGCAGTGTGTGCAGAGCCCCTGCTGGGGATCGGGCCCTGGGGGGGCTCCAGTTGGGCCCCCACACCAAGGACCTCTCTTGGTCTCCAGCTCCCTTGGGAGCTGCCCGGGGAGGCTGCAGCTCACATGCACTGTGTGGCCAGGGGCCCGGAGTAGCCCCCAGTAGGGCTGCCGGGAGCCTGCTGGGCCGGGATCGCTGCAGTATGAGGCCCCCACCGCCCTAGGGTTGCCAACTGTCTAATTGCACAAACCCAAACACCCTTGCCCCGCCCCCTGCCCCGAGGCCCCTCCCTCCGTCACTCACTCTCCCACACTCTCACTCACTTTCACTGGGCTGGGGCAGGGGATTGGGGTGCAGAAGGGGGTGAGGGGTGTGGGCTCCAGGTGGGCGGCGCAGCAGGGCTAAGGCAGGCTCCCTGCCTGCCCTGACCCCGCGCTGCTCCTGGAAGTGGCTGGCACGTCCCTGCGGCCCCTGGGCAGGGCAGGGGTCTCTGCGTGCTGCCCATGCCCTGAGCGCTAACTCTGCAGCTCCCATGCGCCGGGAACTGCAGCCAATGGGAGCTGCGGGGGCCGAGCCTTAGCCCCGCCGCGAGGCCAGACTTTTAGCACCTAAAAACCTCCTGGTTTGGCTTCAGTAGCCTCCGGGAGATAGGTCCTGATTCCGGGAGACTCTTAGCGAAACCGGGAGAGTTGGCAACCCTACGCCTCCCCCTGGTGTGGCCCCCCTGGGTTCCCTCGCTGCTTCCTGTTGGCTGGTTGGGGCAACAGCCCCACTCATTGCGGGAGGGAGGCCCTCAGGGCAGGAGAGCACATGGGGCTGGAGGGGCAGAGAAATGATCCAGCCACCTGCTGTGCTCACTGGCGGAAGCATTGTCTAGCGGTTCGACGGGGGTGGGGGATCAGGACCCCAGGGTTCTCTCCCCGGCTCTGGGAGGGGAGTGGGGTATAGTGGTTAGATGGGGGGCGGGGATCAGAACTCCTAGGTTCTAGCCCCAACTCTGGCAGGTGTAGTGGTCGGGGCTGGAAGGCGGGGGGCAGAGGGGTGCCAGGCTTACAGGGGGTGCCATGCATGGAGCCCTGATCCCAGCCCGTCTCTGCAGCAGATGAAGGCTGGAGCGTGGGGAGCGCGGTGCAGTCAGTCACGAGGGTGCTGAGCAGCTGCCTGGAGAACATGCCTCTGGGTAAGAGGGAGCCCTGTGCCGGAGACCAACAAACCCCTGCACGCCCAGCTCCATCATCCCCTGGGCCTTCCTCAGCCCAGGCACCAAGCCCCCCGCGCTAACCTGGCCGGATACGAGTGGGGCCTGGGCTGGGCTGACTGGACCCACCCTGGGCCACTGTCCAGCCCATCGGCTGCAGGGGCTAGGACTCAGTGCTGGGGGGTGGGATTGCCCCACAGGGCCTGGCAGTGCCAGGGGTTGGGCTGGGCCAGTGGGAGTCTGCTGGGTGGAGGCACAGGCTGCTCAGGTTGCCTCCTGCCCCCACCTGCTCTGTCAGGGCCTCTCCCCAGCTGGCCGGGCACCGGGGGCCTGCGAGGGCCTCTGTGCTGGGCCTCAGGCTCCCCTCTTTCTCCTTGCAGCCGAGCACAACCCTGTGCAGCGCCTGGCGCCACCCGTCCTCTGGGTCACCAGGTGGGTGGATTATTCCAACAAGTACGGCTTCGGCTACCTGCTCTCGGACGGCTCTACGGGCGCCCTGCTCGCCGACGGCACCCACCTAGCCCTCTGCCCGCAGCCCCCGTAGGTATCCCCCGGGCACGCACCTGGCCCTCTGCCCCCTCCCCTGGGCACCTGCCTGGCCACCTCCTCTGGGCACCTGCCTTGCCCTCTGCCTGCAGCCATCGTAGGTATCCCCCCCGGGCACCTGCCTGGCCCTCTTCCCCTTCCCCCGGCCACCCACCTGGCCCTCTGCCCTCTCCTCCGGGCACCTGCCTAGCCCTCTGCCCACAGCCATCGTAGGTATCCTCTGGGCACCCACCTGGCCTTATGCCCCCTCCCCCGGGTACCTGCCTGGCCCTCTGCCCCCACCTGAGAATCCACCTGGCCCTCTACCTTCCCAGCACCCACCTCAGCACCTGCCTTGCCACCCCTGGAGCCCTCTGCACAGTCAGCCCCAGCCCCGCTCAGACACCCACCACCCCGTCTGCCCATGCAGCAGCAGGTACCTCCAACCCCCCCCCCAACCCTCTGCTCAGTCCCCCTGACACCCACCTCGCCTGGCACCTGGGACACCTGCAGCTCCAGCCTCGCGGCTTTTTTGTGGCTTCCTTCCAGGCGTGTCTGCTACTGCCCAGGGCGTGGGGAGGCCATGTCCTTCCCCCGGAGCGACGTGCCCGCCTTCCTGGCCACGAAGATGGGCATCCTGCACTTCTTCTCCCAGTACATGCAGCAGAAGCTGCTGGAGGTGAGGCCCCGGGGCTGGGGAAACCCCGGGGCTGGGCCAGGGGGGTGCAGGGGAAGAATCACGGGGCTGGGAGCGCGGGATATGCCAGGGGCGGCTGGGGGAGGCCCCAGGGTGCAATCCCCTCTGGGCTGTGCCCGCGTTGCGGGGCGGGGGGGGGCCATAAGGGGGAGCCAGGCTCGGTGCCCCCCCGGCCCAGCCAGCTGACTGACTCTGCTCCTGCTGGCAGGGGGGGAGCGAGCCGGCGGGTCCCAGCAGCTCCTCGGACGCCCCCTGTCTCCTATGCTGTGCCAAGTCGGACCGGGCGCTGCTGATGCTCTTCAGCAATGGGACGCTGCAGGTAACCCCCCCATAACCCCCGGCACACCCTTGAGCCTCTCCCCCGAGCCCCCACTCAGGCCTCTCCTCGTCCGGTGCCCCCCCCCCCGAGCCTCTCCCCTCATCCGCCTGCCCCACGGCTGCTCCCTCCTCTCCGAGCCTCTCCCCTGATCCTCCCACCCCATGGCTACTCCCTGTCCTTCCCCTCCACCCCGCAGCGCCCCGCAACCGCCATCACACTTCCCCCAAGCCATGCCCCAGGCTCTGGCTCCTCCCACCCAACACAGGGCCTCTGCAGACCTAGGCTGCTCTGGACTATCCAGTGTCACGAGTGAAGTGAGTTTGACGGCCTCAGCTGCGTTCCGCCCTCCCCAGGGGCTGCAGCACAGCCTGGCCGGGGTGACAGGCCCGGGGCTGGGATAGCAGGGAATGCGGGGCCCCAGAAGGGCTGCAGTCCGTGCCCCCCTACCCACACTGCCCCAAGGCCCTCTCCTGGCAGCAGGGCCGGACAGTGGCAGCGGGGGCTGGAAACCCCTGGGGAAAGGGGGGCTTAGGTGCAAGGGCAGCTGGGGGCTGGCAGTCGGGGGGCAGAAGGGTCAGAACTAGAGGGCAAGGGGGAGGGAGTGGAGCAGGAGCCCCCACCCTGCAGCCAGAGCTCCCTAAGCTCATGGGGGCTGGTCCGATTGTCGGATCCCAGCAGCGGGGGCCACCAGCGGGGCTCCCTGGCCCTCCCCAGTGTGTGTGTGTAGGGGGAGACTCTGGGGCAGGGGGAGGGGTATTAACTCTCTCCTGGGCCAGGTTCTGTGGGACGCTGCATCACTCGCCCTCCCCTCTCTGCCCCGCAGGTCAATTTCTATCACGACCACACCAAGCTCGTGCTGAGCTGCCCAGGGGGCGGGCACCTCCTGACCTTCATCGACCAGCAGCGCATCAGTGCCACCTTCCCGCTGGGCGCCCTGGCCGCAGGGGGCTGCGCCCCGGCCCTGCGGGAGCGCCTGCAGTATGCCCTCGACATGGCCCACTGCCTGTAGCTGCCTCCGCTGTCCCCCCGGGACTCTCCCGCCCCCAGGAGCCAGACCCACTGCCCAGCACCTGGCGTGGCATGGACATGGACACAGGGCGGCTGAGGTGATGTTGTGGCCCAGGGCAGGCCCATTAGGGGCTCTTATGGGACCCAATTTGATGATCAAACTCTACTCCCTGGCTTGGGGGGGTGCTGTGGAGACATGGGTCCTTTCCACTCTGCCCCTCGCTCCCCCTGGAATCAACGGGGCCTGGAGGTGCCCGTTTGCCCGATGCTAATGCCGGCCCAGGAGCTTCACCCACTGGCGTCCCCTGAGGATGGGATTTGGGGCGCTGCAAACGGGCCTTGGCCTCCAGGGGTGGCTCCCAAAGGGGAGCTGGAGCAGCGGTTGGCGGGGGCCACTAGGCTGCCTGGAATGGCTGGGGCCAGTGGCCAGGCAAACTGGGGAGTTGCCTGCAGGGTCTGGGACTGGAGCTGGCCGGGCCTGACTGCTCTGCACTGGCGGAGGGTGGGGAAGGAGCCTGCTAGGCCAGGCTCCCGCCCAGACTGGAGCCAGGATGGGAAGGGGGCACTGAAAGCCAAGGTTACGTGATGGAGGGAGGTGCTCTGAGGAGGCAAGAGAACCCAGGAGTGCAAATGCAGGAGGTGTGACAGGGTCAGGCCAGATGGTTACAGGAGAGTGATCCTATTGGGATCCAGGAAGTGGGGGGGGGGCAGAAGCCCACTGCTAAAGGACCCCCCTCAGTCTAAGGGGAGGATCCACAGGACCTGGAAACCAAGTGATTCCGGGGGACAACTAATGAAATAACAGGGACAGGAGTGCGGTCAAAGGGTCAAATGAAGGGAACCTGATGGGGACACTGAGCAGAGAACCCCAGACAGCACCCAGTGCTCCTCGAAGGCGTCAAGGGAGCCAGTGGATGCCGCCCAGAGGAACTCTGCCCAGATGCATGAACAGACAGAAGGCAGATATATTAGCCCCAGATTAAGCAGTTCCCTTTTCCCTGGGTAAGGAAACAGGGGCAGTTCCAGAACAATCAGGAACGTGCTGGAACCATGTAAGGTAGGCAGGCTTATTAGGATACCTGGAGCCAATTAAGGGGCGTGGGCATGGGCATGCTGGTGCTGCTGCTGCTGGAGGACTGAGGAGTACAAATGCTACCTGGCGTCAGGAGGAAGGTCCTGTGGTGAGGTTAGAGAAGGGGTTAGGAGGAGGCCATGGGGAAATAGCCCAGGGAGTTGTAGCTGTCACAAGAAACACTGTAGACTGCTGTGATCCACAGCGCCCTGGGCCCGGGATCCCCCCAACTCCCTATTGGATACAGGAGTTGCCCTGGACTGTGGTCCCACCAGAGGGGAAGGTCCCTGGCCTGTCGCCCAACCCACGAGGTGGATCAGCAGAGACTGTGGGGATTGTTCTCCTTCCGTTTCCCCGCACTGGCCAGTGCTGAGGGTAGCTGAGTGAACGGCGGGTTTGAGCCACTAGCCAAAGTGGCCAAACTGAGGGCTGCCGTGGACCTCAGAGGCGAGCAAATCCACCAATAAGCGCAGGACCCACCAAGGCAGAGGAGGAACTTTGTCACAGACGGGGAGGGAGCTGGCTGGAGGGCAAGTGGCGGAAGGTGAAGGAGCTGTGGGGAGGTCAGGGGTGTCTGGTTGGTTCTGGGCCCCACTGAGTCTGAACTCCTCTCCCTGCCCAAGGAGGCAGCCTGGCCTGGCCCGGCCCAGTGGTTCCGGCCGCACCCTGGCTTGTGAGTGAGGGTGGGGCAGGTGCCAGCTGGTGCTGAGGGTGGGGGGGAGCAGGGACAGAGAGGGGCTGTTCACACACACGTACCCCAGTGCTGGGGGGTGCAGAAACCACCGGGACAGCATGGAGGGGCAGGGCAATGCAGGATGTGAAGTGGGGGCCTGCAGAGAGGGTGCGAGGGGAATGGGCAGAGCTGCGAGGCCCAGGAGAGCCCAGGGCTCGGAGAGCCCGACCAGCGGGTCTCTAGCTGCAGCCCGCTGGCAGCGCAGGGGCTGGGCTGGCGTAAGTCACAGAAACGCTGTTCCACATTAAACTCCTATGGCCGCCGCTTAACAGTGTCTGATTCTGAGGGCTCTGGGGCTGTGACACGGGGCTCCAGCCCTCCAGGGGTCTCTGCAAACCTGCCTCGGATGGATCAGCAGCCTGGCGGATAGAGCACCTGGCAGAGACGCCGGAGACCTAGGTGCTATTCCTGCTCTGCCACCGGCCTTGGGCAAGCCACGGCCCTGCTCTGTGCCTCAGTTTCCCTCTCTGTAAAATGGTATCATGCTGCTGCCCTCCGTTAAACAGCACTTTGACCTACTGAGGAAAAGTCCTAGGTCAGAGCCTGGGGTGATTATTATTAGTGACCCAGGAACAGCCCCCGGCGGGGGCCCAGGACGTGGCTGGAGTTGGCAGGGCCTCTGCCTGGTTTCTAGCTGCCCAGCTGCCCGGTTGCCCAGCCCACTAGCCAGGGGGCACTAAGTGGCTACCTTTGCCACGGACTGAAAGGGCCAGAGGCTTAGTCTGTTCTCCCTTCCCACGCCTGGTCTCCATTCAGGGCAGGCCTAGGGCACGTGGCTTGGGGGCCCTGGCACTGAGCCGAGCCGGCTCTGGGGTTAGAGGCATCCAGCCCTGCTCAGCAGCATCCCCTCCCCTGTAAACGGGTGGCGGGGGATTCCCCCCCCCACCGCAGTGCCTTGCAGTCTGCAGTGAAACGGCCCCAGGTGCCCTCGAGGGCTCTCACAAACCCACCCACGCTTGGATCACAGCGAGCGCTGCAGGAGGCCGACGCCCAAAGCAGACAAGAGCCAGACGAGCGGGCACCAGCTGGGAGCAAGGCCCTGGCAGCCCACCAGGGGCCTGAGGGGCAGGGCGCTGCCCAACTGGGCAGGCGAGAGGGCAGAGGGCAGCCGAGTACTGAGTGGTGCTGCCCCAGCCTGCCTGGCTGGTCTCGTTCCCTGGGCTGCACGGCCACGCGGGTCTCCTCCGGCTGCTTCACTGTGGCCCTGTGTCAGCCGCCGGGTGTGACGTGAATTGCAGGGAGTATCACTCAGCAGAGCCCATGGTGGGGGGCCGAGAGCCTGGATCATGGAGGTGCCAGGCACAGGGGTGGGTGTGTGGGTGTGTGTCTTTGTACACATCTGTGCGTTTACACACGTGTGGGTACATGCACACGTCTGGGTGGGCACGTGCGTCTGTGTCTGCCTGTGCTCACACACCCCTGGGTACACGCACACGTCTGTCTCTGTGTGTACGTGCACGCACGAGTCCACACCCGTGTGCGTGTTTTATCTAATGTGCTTAGCGGAGAAACAACAGGAAATTCCAGCTCTGGCGCTAGGGGCTCGCCCTAAGCAGGGCAAAGGCCTCTCGCTCTTCCGTAGCCGGCTGGGGTCGGAGGCTGTAACAACAGGCAGCTGCTGATTCCGAAAGGCCCTGACCCGGCGGAGCCATGACTAACCAGCCCCAAGGGACCATCCTCTGAGGCATTCAGCTCCGTGCAGGGTGGTGGTGTCCAGTGGTTATAGCCCGGGTGCTTGTCCCCTGCCCTGCACGGAGCTGAATGAGCTAATGCTGCTGGCGGTGGCTGGGCAGGGTGGGTGCCCCTAGCCCTATAGGGAGCTGTTCTGTGTCTGACCCCCACGGCAGGCCCTTGCCAAGAATGCAGAGCCCAGCTCACATGCCCTGTGTTCGGAGATTAGCCCCTTAAGTGCGACAAGGTCCCAGCGACAAGCATATCGGGCCCTTTCAGCTGTACACAGAGGAGGAATGCGCCCTGCTCCCCCCGCAGAGCCCCCGCTTGTGAACAAGCCCCTGTGAGAACTGGCCAAGGACTACGGGGCCAGGGCTGCAGCAAGTCCCATTTCATGGCTTTCCCGGCCCTGCCAAGCCCTTCCCTAGCTGGATGCTTGGTGCCCTGGGCCTGGCGCCCGCTGGGCTGGATGGGACTGTGCCGAGTGGGAACAGACCCTACCATGCCCCCTGTGTGACAGCCCTGCCCAGGGAGAGGCACCAGGAGCAGGGAGGTGGGTGTTCCACATGCCAGGGCCCAGACCGGGTCCTTCCCCTTCCCTGCTTGCTGCTCCTGGGACAGTCTCTTCCCCTTGCTGTGCCTCTATTTCCCTACAGGCCCTGGCCTGTCACATCCCTCCCTGGGCAGGATCAGCTGGAGAAATCGAGGGGGAGCCTGAGTGCTGGGAGTGAGGTTGCCAGCTCGTACCCCGCCCCTGCAGTGAAGCCCGGCCGAGCACCCTGGCAGGGCTAATTTGGGCTCTGCTATTTAAATTGCAGCCATGTATTAAAAGACCAGACAGGCAAATCAGGCTGGGGCTGCATGAGCTCCAGGCTAATCGTCCACCTGACGTGTGTCAATTCCCCCCACCCCCCAACCACTAGGGATCCCTTCTGCCCCTCCAGAGAGTGGGGTGTGCGCACGGGTTAGCATTCACCCCCATGCCATATGCCCTCATGCAGGGGCAAATACCCCAGGCTGCTACTGCTCGTGGGGTAGTGCCCAACCCTCCCCAGCAGAATTGGGCCCCTGCAGTGCTGGGCACCACCGGGAGAGGAAGACGCAGTCCCTGCCCCAGACAGCTCACGAGCCGGCAGACTGTGTGGTGCAGGGAGCATGGCACCACAGGCAGGGGTGGCTCTACCAATTTTACCGCCCCAAGCAGTCGCCACGGTGGGAAGAGCGGCGGAGCTGCCAATGAATTGCCATCGAGGGACACGAACTGCCGCCCCATTCTAAATGCCACCCCAAGCACCTGCTTTGAAAGCTCGTGCCCGGAGCCAGCCCTGACCACGGGGTTCACATTCACGGACGTGCCATAAGAACGCTGCTGGGGGGCTGGGCTCTTTCACCACCAGTGCATGTGGGGGGCAGGAGGGCAGGCAAGGAGCAGCTGGCACCATGGGGGGGGGTTCCCCCCTTTTAGAGCTGTCTCATAGATTTAGGCCTCATCTCCTCTAGGTCTGCTGCCCACGGTGATGCTGCACCAACGCAAAGGCCCTTGTGGCCACCAGGGCAGTGGGCTTGGCACCTATTTTGAACCCGGATAAACTGTACCCATGCCAATCATGTGGCCTGGGTGCAAATGGTTTCTAGACTGGGGCTGTGCCCTGGCTAAAATCGCCCAGGGGCACAGCCCCAGGCCAGACCCCAACACCAAACGCCCAGCAGGCAAAGCTGGCCCTGGGGGTGGCCTAAGGGCTGCAGGCAGGTAGGAGGCTGGTGAACAGCATGCCTGGCCAAGGTGGGCCCAGGGGAGATGAAGGCCACATTGCGCTAGGAGCTGTACGAGGGCCAGATTCACTGCAGGAGGGAGAGGCTCCATGGAGCAGCTAGATCTGCCTTCGTTTCTGCTCCAGGGCTCTAGCACATGCCAGCAGGAACCGGCTGCAAGAGCGTCCCAGGTGATCCAAGCAGGCATAGGAGGCCAAGCTGCCCCCAGCTCAAGGTGATGCCCCTCCTCCACTTGGCACAGCCTGCTTGACACCCAGCCCTGCCAGGGTTAAGAACGAGGCCCAGGCGCGCCAGCTGGTGTTGCTGGGAAGATCCAGATAGGGGCTGTCGGGAAGTACAAATAGCAGAGCCGGTCTCCAGGTCCTGGGTGGGTAGAAGGGGGTTCTTTGGCTGACCTCACTGCAGCCTCCACTCCAGCCCCTGGCCTGAACACAATGCCCGGCCACTTGCCAAGCACACAGGGCTGTTTGTAAAGCGATAGGCTGCACTGGGGGAGTTGGTTTGGGGAGGGGGGACAGGGCAGAGGAATGCAAAGGTTAGCGATGGCCAAGGTGATCCCACCCGCAGTCCCGGCTACACCCGCCTTGTTTCGGGTCGGAGGAGCCCAGACGGCGGCAAGCTCTGGAATCCACCACATCTAGCGCCGGCTGGCCAGAGGTGGGCAATTCCCACTATGGCTGTGGCAGGCCTCATTGGTCGCCTTATGGTCCCGATTCCCAGCTGCGTGGGGAAAACCTGATCCTCTCCCCCGCAGCAGCCACCCTCCTAAACTGCTCCAAAAATAGAGCCCAGCCCCTTTACACTGCCCCCCAGCCCAGACCAGCCCCCGAGCTGATTCCTGGAGACCAAAGGACATGCCCAGAACCCAGACAGATCAGCATGCAAACAGCAGACCAGTCCTGCTGCATGGGGCAGAAAGCGGCTGCACACTGCCCCCTGCAGGGGAGAAGTGCTTTCTGCAGCCCCGGACATGCGTGCTCAAATTACAAAAAGAAAAGGAGGACTTGTGGCACCTTAGAGACTAACCAATTTATTTGAGCATAAGCTTTCGTGAGCTACAGCTGTACAGCTGTAGCTCACGAAAGCTTATGCTCAAATAAATTGGTTAGTCTCTAAGGAGCCACAAGTCCTCCTTTTCTTTTTGCAAATACAGACTAACACGGCTGTTACTCTGAAACCGCTCAAATTACAGTGCATCAATCCCCTGTGATCACAGCACTGGAGGAAACGCTGAGCCAAGCAGCAGGGAATGGCAGCATGGGGAAGGTGTATCCAGGAGAGACAGTTTAGGAAGTAGGCTGTGGAATAAAGCACTGATTGTTCACTGACGGGTGACCAGACAGCAAGTGTGAAAAATCGGGACACGGGGAGGGGGGGTAATAGGAGCCTATGTAAGAAAAAAATTGGGACATCTGGTCACCCTACTTCAGTGTCCGATTGTTCATAGCTCTGCAGGGCAGGGCCCAGCTCTTTATTCTGGGTTTGTACAGCGCCTAGCACAGTGCGGTCCTGGTGCTTAATCGGGGCTGCTAGGAGCAACTGCAACGCATAGGATCATGATCAACTCTGTAATTTAAGGAGGTGTAAGGGTGGAAACAGGGAGGAAGGATGGTGAGTGCTAACTTAGGACGTGGGAGACCCAGGTTCAATTCCTAGTCTGTCACGGTCTCCCTGTGACCCGGGGCAAGACACTTAATCTCTCTCTGCCTTAATACTCCCATCTGCACAATGGATAGAACAGCCCAGCCATGCTGAAATGATAAATACGTTAGAGATTCTGAGGTTTGCTCTTACCGAAGCCAGGAGTCCTGGTGAAGGCC